ACACACACACACACACACACACACACACACACACACACACACACACACACACATATGCAAAGGTTTGCGTGACAATGCCGTCTAACCAGCACCTGGTACTATATTGAAAGTCACTTGTTCTCAACATAACAACGCCAGCTTGGGTTTTTACACAAGCATAAAACGAGAAGACCGCAGCAAAGGTGCAGTTTCAGCCGAGGGCCTCAAGCCCCCCCCCCCCGTCCCTCCCACCCAGCTTTGGGAAGGAAGTGGGCCAAATCCGGAGAGAAACACGGTTTGGTGCACGCTGTTTGTTTATGCTTTATTAAGTGCGATTCCTTGGTTTGTATCGTCTAGGTTTGCTATGTAGTCTCATGTTTGCTCTGTATACCCTGACAATTCTTCTGGACTTGTTTTGGACAGATCATAAAAACACAGTATTGAGGGAAGGTTAAGCAATTTTTCACTGCTAAGCCCGCCCATCTCACCTTGTTTTGCGATTACAGCCCTGGACTGCGGGCCTTCGAATAGCCTGTCTTCCAGAAAGAGGCACGAATTGATATTAATCTATTGTTAGCAATAATGGGGATAATGGCCCTTCGCCGTGTCTGTGCGAAGCTGACCAAAGTTTGAGCACGCGCCCGCTGTCTAGCCACCGTCACTTCTCCTTGCAACAGCGTAAGAATATTCCCGATTTCCCTTCGAAGCAATGTACGCAGCCTGAGCAGCTGCCTCTCGAACGTCAGCTTCGACTCCACGACTTAGGTCGATGAAAGTCAATGGAATTCAGCACACCAACTCGATGGGACAGCGCTGGACGGGCCCCAAGGTCTTGAAGGTTCCTGGTCGCCTGGCGGCTGATTGGCCACAAATGTCATTCGCCGCGCTGTCCCAGGCTTATTCCCTCGCCACGGCTCGCGACGATTAGGTTACGGGAACTCCCGGCGGCTGTTATTGGATTCCACCTGCAATCGCATGACCCGAAGCACCACCCCTTCTGAAGATCGCTTACGAGCTAGCAATCTTTGTGCAAAAAAGTCTGGGCTGTGATTTGGATTATACATCTTAGAGACCAGCCTAGGCCGTCTGTTTCAGAATGCCTGCTTTTTCTGTCCCAAATGACGCTGACCAGCCTCTGGTGGCTGAACAATGACAAAAGACGAAACCTTCCACCAAAATACCTCCAAAACGCATTTATTTCTGGATTTGGACCACTGTTGACATGATATTGATATCGCATGATATAAACCATGATATCGTTAAATGTAGGGTGATAGGGATACAGTTTTTTGAAATACGTAGGGATTAGGGATGGGGGGACGAAAAAATGGCTGAGCCTGCCTCCGAAATGCTCTTGAAACTGTTTTCTCTTTAGATTTGACTATCTTCCTTTCACACTTGTGAGCAGGGGTGTTGTTTCTCGAAATTAGTATGAGGGCTAAACCCTAAGAATTATGATTAATGAAAAAAGTGCTTAGAAAATGATGACTAAGAATAGGAAACTACATCTATGGTTAAGAGGCACAATCCCTCCCCCCCCCCCCTCCCCCAACTGAACAAGGAACTACACGCCTCTAGGCTGGCTATATTAACTATGCCTTTATCTGATAACTTTATTGGCTTAGTCGCAACCATCTATGAATGCCTGATGACCAGCAAACGATGCTGAAGTGCGAGTGAACTGGCGAGACGAAAATATTTGATGGTTTTGCCGCACTCCATTAAATTTGTTTTTGTTTCTGTGGGTTATTGCATTCAGAGTTACATTGCAACGGTTTCTAGAATATTTGGCTCCAGGTGACAATTTAGACGGTCCCAAATTTTGGTCGGTGACAGAAAAGGCACTTTCCCACCTGTGAGCACATCTTTCCGTTTAAGACTGACGGTGCACGGGTATTCGCCGTTTGCTCTTGTGCTGTGTGCGGTTGGCGGACCAGTTGTGGTGCGCTTTAACCACTCGATTGGGTGTTGGCAGCGGAAAGCCACAGCTGCACGGCAGCAGGGACTAAACGCTCCCCCATGGCAGCATGACCTACTGGCCAAGGTCCCGCAGGTGCCGTATCTTGCTCATTGCAACCCAAAGTCAGCCATCCTGAGCTGCTCCTAAACAAATGCCCCGAGGCACGATGTCGACCGTCAAAAAACGCACCATCGGCGCTGTTGTGGGATATCGGGCGCCCTCGGTGACCTGGCTCCTGCCACGCGCTCTTGTTGGAGTACACCGCTGGCGTCGCTGGGGCCGGCTCTGCGCGCGCCTCCTCCCGACGGCGCTATCTGCATGAGGATCCCATCGGTCACTCTACCGGCCGGCTGGCGTTCAGCGTGCGACTCGGCACACAGAGACGGGAGTTCACTCGGCATCAACGCAAGCACGTACGCACGCACGCACGCACGCACGCACGCACGCACGCACGCACGCACGCACGCACGCACGCACGCGCACGTACACACACACACACACGCACACACACACACACACACACACACACACACACACACGCACACACACACACACACACACACACACAAACGTGCGACCCACGGAGCTGGGATGAAGCGAGTGACCGGTTGATGGGCAGGATGGTAGGGCCGGTCAGGAACCAGGGTGTTTTCCGTGCATGGCTGAGCACCTTTGGACACGTTATGCCACCTCCACCGTTTTAGCTGGTGACTATATCTAAACGGAACCAGATGCACTGAGTGAATTGTAACCGTCCTTAATCTCATGACACTTGCACCTGAATACCCGCACGTGCCATGAGCTTAATCCCGCATCTCCTCTGCCCTCAACGGGAATGCTCTACATTTTAAGATGTTGATGCAAGCATTAGATGTAATGGAAAAGCTATCTTGTAAGTATTGGAATGTTGTTCAGTACAAAAGACTACTTCAGATAACACAATTTCACCGTTTAGCAAATGCGGTCCTCAATACGGCATCGTTTGATTACACCATGAAACATTTTTTTATGGCGTCGGAGTCGGCACCAGCCCGGCCGTGTCAGAATTCCCGCTGCAACAGACGGGCTGTAGCACTTCAGCTTGTCGCAAGGCGACTGCTTGATTTGTGCATGAGCAAACGATCGTTATGCGCAGTCATTTCAGCTCTTTCTCATGGTGTTCTTGTATGCCTGTCCGTCACTGTATGCCAAATTCACGCTTTTTACCTGCGGTTACATTCTTGGTAACGACACTGTTTTCTTAACTTATTGAGCTTTCACCCTCGAGTCCGTTTAACTAAAAGAACTGCCCAAGCGCCTGCATCATGTGCCACAAAACGCGGATTTGTCATCAGGACTTGCATTTAACGCGTTAAGCTGCTTGGAAGCCAACTGTTGGCCTTTGTCGAGGAGATTCGTGCTGATTTGCTTCAAACACGGATAACTCCACGGTCATATTCGTATTGACCTTGAACTCAATATGACCATCGCCGAGCGTGAAAAAGTCTACATAAGTTTGCATACGCTTAGCTAAGAAACAATAAGTGTTGGTGTCTTGCAAGGAGCATAGCTGTGAACTGCAGGGAGTTATCTTAAAATGCTATGTCAATTTAAAGCTCCATACAAATATAGAACGGTCCCTTTTAAGTAATCCACCCACTCTTCTTGCGTTCGGTTCCTCGGCACGTTTATGTCAAGTGGGCCCATTCGCTAGTGCCCACATCACCTCACTCCTCCGCGTCACGCATACGGGCTGCTCCTCTCCCCTTGTCTCTCCCTTCCAGCGCCTCGGCAGTGCAACCGGCACGTCTGCTCATGTCACATTTGTCACGCTCATGTCACGCTCATGTCACATTTGAAGCGTACTAGGCCTATGTCCCTTCAGCGTGGCACTTGTGCGACTCCGGAACCGGTCTCTGGTGCGCCTGCGCCGGTTTAGCATGGGTTTAGGTCTAACTCTTCAGCTTAGTATCGGTTCTCCAAAGAGGTGATAACTCTGGCTAACCCGGATATGATCGCTTTTGCGATTATCTTATACGCAACGCAACGTTGGCAAGCTAATTGGGCGTGAGCGTTCCAAGGCTTGAAGTTGAAAAAGATGACCTGAAATCAGCAGCTTTAAAACGGCTTATCGCCGGTAGTCTGTCTGCCGTTAAACGTTGTGAGGATATCGTTCGAGTGGTGTCCGTTTTTTGGACTTGACTGCAATGCCCTAAAGTTGCTTGTGCAGTTTTCGAGGGTGAAGGTGGTGACCTGATGTCACCAGTCACAGCACAGCTGCTGAAATTGCACGCGGGCCTTCTTCTGGCAAAGGTTGCGTGAAGGTCCGCTGGGTGTTTTTCGGGTTTGGATTTGGCTGTTATAATCCTGAGTGGTTTATGCGGCTTTTAAAGGTAGAGATGGTGACCTTAGCTCACAAATTTCAGAACGTCTAATGAAATTGCACGTGATTTATCTCCTGAGAGAGGTAGCGAGGGATCGGTCATGTGGTTTCTGAGTTCGGATCTGGCGGCAATTTCTTAAGTGGTTTATTCGGTTTTTGAAAGTGAAGATGATGACGTGACATCACCACTTTCAGAACGGTAAAGGAAATCGCGTTCTAACTTTCGATTGGTTTTGGTTTGGAGGATTCCGGATTTTGGACTTGGCTGCATGAATTGCGGCGAAGTAGATTTGTCCCGGCCCACCCGTCCTAACCAGTGACGATTTCAAACAGCTTATATCTTTACCACCACGCACTAGTCGTATCGCCGTGCAGTTGCCAGCAACAAGCAGCCCAGCCCATCAAAACTTACGCCGCAATACTCAGCATGACATTTTCACAGCGACTATTTGATGACACTCTTATCATGGTTGTATCCTCACGACTTTATCTCCGCTACTCCTCCGCCAAATTCCTGCCAAATTCTAATTCCTGGCAAATTCTGCCAAAAATCCTCTGCTAAAATGCATTTTTGGTCAATAATATGGCGGCATTTGAATGATATATATGGTAGCTGTACAGCTAGGTTCTGTACTTGGCGCACACGTTTCTATCTTGGTGCAGAATGAAATCATTGCGACTGGTGCTTGTTATTGCGTTTCGGAGGGTGAGTTCGGGTGGGGGTGTGGGTGGTGATTAGTCATCAAATATTTTCCTGATAACTATTTTATGTCAACTGCCAGTGAAAAACGAAGGAATTGCAATGTCTTTTATGATTTTCCGAGTGCAAGGGCTTTACCTCCAATGTGTTAGGAGACCTGCCCTGGGCACTTTTAATTTCCTAAGTTGAGATCCTAAGTGGAAGTAACCGTTATGCAGAAATAGGGGAAGGCAAGCCTGAAAGGACTGTTCAAGCCAGCCATTATTTTGGGACATCTGCTGCTCCTGCTTATAAAACTAAACATACAGGTGTTAAAATTGTGTGTAAATTTATCAGAACATTGTGATCTGAGGCATTGCTCTAGAATATCCATCGAGTTTCATCTGTGTGTGTCAGTGGTCACAATCAAGGCTGTCAGCTTATCAGTGAAATTAATGCCACCCATTAGGCTTGATATTTATGTCCACAAGATATGATGTGACTAAAATATGCATGGTTAGTCATGGATGTGATTGTTTTCTGTGTTGAGTTATCTCTCAGCAATCTTAGTTTTTGTGTTGAAGATTACTTGCCCTCATTGTATGAAAGGGTATGGATAGCAACCAGTTCACGCATTATCAGGGTTTTAAGTAATCATCGGCCTTAATTTTGTGAGAAAATTTGACATTGACCACCTGGGAACACTGCCTTGAAATTTGGAGTACCTATTCAGTGTTCTTGTGATATGTATCAGTGGTTGTTTGATAGCATTGCTTAACCAATGCCTCCTTATATATTATGGGTGTCATATTCTCAACATAAGAGTTCTTAAATGCTAAAACACTATGAGATCAAACCCTTTCATGCTTATGCTGTTTTTCAGCCTGCCTGACAAGGTTTTGTTAATGTTGTGACCATGATAATGTCACATCTTTGAAGTGCAATGTGATATAAAGCAGCTTGAGTTTTCTAAGATGTCTACTTGAGATCTTATTATTCTAGACTGCTTATTTAGAAAGCATGCTGCAGTTTAATAAGAAACAAGTTATATTTGGGTAAGAAGTTAAGTGTGATGTTGACCATATTTTTGTGTGTTCTTTTTCTGACTTAACATGCTTTTCAGCATATTGGCCAGTAAAAAAGACAACAGCAACCATCCGGAGATGGAAATTGATCCAAAAATGCTGGTAAGTATCTTTCTCATTGTCATTTATCATGACTTACCTCAAAATAGAGTATTTTGATAAGAACTCTCAGCTTCTCATGCATCTCTAATGTGGATTGTTTCATAAGAGCCATGTGCTCTTTGAATTTGCATATATTTATGGAAAGCACAGTATTTAAAGTAAAAGTACAGTCGCAGAAGCCAGAGCACTGCATTCAAAACTCTGTAAATTCAACTGGTCTTAAGAGAACTGAAGCACAAGTTCACACATCATTGGAAGGAAACATGTGGTTGTTATGGAGCTGGGTAAATTTAGCTGCCATGCACAAGTACTGCTGGCAACCAGTCTGACCATTGCTGTCAAGCTTAGGAAAGCTGTCTATCTGTTGCCAAAGCATGCATGCTTTGGTGACAGGTGTGCTGCCTGTTGTAATCACTTCTCATCATCACACAAAAGCAAGTGTCTCTAGCTAATTTGCAGCACTTTGCCTCCCACAGACCTTGTATCACACAGGTCAAAATGTCATAAAAGCCTCTCATATCATGGCGAGTGGGCCTGTGAGTGGCCTTCCATGCGGTGCCCCATGCCAACGTGATTATTCCCAGCAGGGGGCGGGCGGCGGCGGACAGTCTGCTGAGAAGCAGAAGGAGGCGGCTGCGCAGCGGGAGGAGATGAAGAACAGCATGCTGTCCAGCCTGCTGGACCAAAAGGCGCGAGCACGGCGTGAGTGGCGCCCCCTGTCGTGAACCTCAGTGGCACCTCTGCAGTGGCTGGCTGCAATGGTGACCCCATTAGGGCAGTGCCTACGCCCAATAGTATCGTGATTGAGCATTCTGCTTATGACCTCTCATGGAAACATCACAGCCAAAATCTACTCCATCCGCCATCCCTGTCCCTTATCGCCAGCCGGTGCTCCCGCTCTAGCCCAACGCGACGGCAATGGACTGGGCCGATGTCGAACATACATGTGTGGAGGGGACGGAGGGACAGACGCCTGGCGGCTGTCTCCCTGGCGCTGGACGCGCGTGACAGGCGGGGGCGTGCCTCCAACACAGTGGGCGCTGACGCCCTACCGGTGCTTCCCCTTTGCTGAAGTGATCTCCTGAGTGCTTGCATGACTTCTGAGCCTGCTGTGACCGTGTGATGGCTCCATTGGCCTCATGGCACCCGATGCAGACTGACGTTCATCGTTATTGCGCTTACCGTGGCTTGTGGCCTGCCGTGACCTGATGCTTTTGCGACCTGACCCTCTGACGCGCATTGACCCTCTGACATGCACTGACCCTTCGACACGCACTGACCCTCTGAAGTGCACTGACCCTCTGACGCGGCGCGCCGACCTTCTGACGCGCACTCACCCTCTGCTTCGTACTGGCCCCCTGACGCGCACTGACCCTCTGACACGCACCGGCCCTCTGACACGCACCGGCCCTCGGACGTTCACTGGCCCTCTGACGCGCACTGGCCCTCTGACGTGCACTGACACTTACGCGCACTGACCCTCTGACGTGCACTGACACGCGGTCCATATTGATGCTCTGACGCGCACTGATACTGGTGCGCGCTGACCCTCTGACGCGCACTGACCCCCTGACATCCACTATGACCAGCTCACTCCCGTCGTCACCCCTGACACGCCCACCCCGGCAGTGAACACGATCCTATTGGCGAAGCCGGAGAAGGGCGCCCAGCTGGAGGCGATGCTGGTGAACATGGCGCGCTCCGGTCAGATCCAGCAGCGGCTGACCGAGCCGGAGCTGGTGGGCCTGTTGGAGCGGGTCAGCGATTCCGTCCAGGGCCGCGCTACCGGCAAGGTCAAGGTGAGGTTGCTGCGCCGAGAGGGGTGTGGGGCGCGGGGCGGGCGGGACGGCTGAGCTGCGCCATGTGGATGACAGAGACCCATGCGGCCGTGAAGGGTGTGGGTCGGGGGAATGGAACTGACGGTTGAAGGGGTGAGGTGAGGTTGCTGGGTTAGAGAGTGGTGAGTTTGTGGTGATGATGGCACGAAATAAGAACGCGTGCCTGTGACTGAAGATGTCGACTTGTGTGGTTGGTGTTAACGTATTTGTGTCTGTTGAAAGATATTAGATCACACAGCCGTGGACTCCATAGAAGAAAATATCGTCACGGGTACTAACCAACTGGTAGCCATCAACGTCCATGGTCTTGTTGAATCGCGGCAGCGTTGGGCTGAATGTATTCACTTTCGGATGAGGTTTGTCGTATGCATCAGCGCTGCTACGCTGCCAGCATGTAAGCTGCAGAACTTCCGACTCTGTCGCGTGGTCAGATGAATGCATGTCTCGCACGCTCAGAATGAGCTCTCGGCCGTGACCCGTGCCGTGGCTCTCGCAGTTCGACCGAAGGCGGGCGGCCCTGGACTCGGACTCGGACGAGGACTACTAGCGCCGCCGTGACCGGCTCTCTGGCGTCACCTGTGTTCTCATCTTTGTGGCGCTGTCGTGTCACGCCTCGGGACATGGCGCCTCGACCGGCCACGCCCCGTGTCGCCGCGGGGATCTGGCCTGACCTGACCTGACCTGACCTGTGGGCCTGGGCGTCGGAGTGTGTGTGGTCTGAGCGGGGGGCGGGTCCTGCCTGCGGTCCTGCGGGAGGGCGGGTCTTGCCCACCACGTTCGGGCGGGGAGAGCACGGACGCGGACCGTGTGTCGGCGGTTTTGTCACGGGAGCTAGCGCGGTTTCCCAAGTCACGTTGAGACCGCTGCTGCGGAGATGAAGCTCCCGCGGGGATTGAGCCTGGCGATGGCGTCGAAGGGATTTTTGACGCGGGCAGGGTGTGGTTGCCCTGCCGTTGCCGTAACACGCTTTGTATTTCATCGCGTTTGATACTGACCTGGTAATACACAAGGCCACTGCATGTGAGCTGTTTCACGTGCGACTTCAGCGCCACCGAGGCGGTTCGCTTAACTACCTTTGCATACATACTTAAGTAAGTTGATTTATTTAATTCAGTTGATTTTTCATGGATATTCGGTGTGCACGACAGGACTCAGTGTGGCTAAGAATTACACAATGCCTGATATTTCCACCACCTGAAACGTTCTTATGAGTCACGCAAAGGCTGGCGACTGGTGACGTTTGCAGAATATAGCTGAGAACATTGGCGAGAAACTACAGTTTGAACCGCACGAGATCGCGTGCGTCAATGAAACGCATCTGCGCATCGCGTCATACGTCGCTTTGTGCCATATTTCTCGCAGCCATCTTGAAATTCCTCAAGATAACTGACTGAGGGAGACGAGTTGTCGGAGAGCTGGTAAAGGACGCAGGCATGAGGCTGACTTTGTCCGGTTACAGCTAAGAATTATTAGAGTATCAAAACGCGTTGCCACACGTTGCACCGAGGTGTCCTTGGGACGGACTAGCTTGGGCGTACGCCGTTATGCGATGCTGCCATTCCAGACCGTTCTGACTTGTCTGTCTGCGAGTCAAGGCAGTTTGCGGGGTCTGGTGCAGAGAGTGCCGGCGCGCATTGGCGTGGAAGACACCAGTGCTGGGCCCGCATTGTTTTAAGAGGTGTAATGCTGTGCCGCGGGCAGATGTTCCTTGCCCGTGCTCGTGCAGAGGGTGCCAGAGTTTGCTGATGTGGACGACGTGAAAGTCTGTCCCGGTAAAGAGGGCGCTTCAATCTAACGTTGGATAGATAGTCCAACCGTGTGACTCCGGTGCGGAAGAGCAGCAGCCTGTGGCAGCGAAGGGGTCGCCGGCCTGTGCTGGTGTGGAGGGTTTCGGAGGCTAGAGAAGTGTGGAGAGCGTCAGGCTGTCTCATATTTGGTCTACGCAAGTGTGCGACCGCAGCCGACTGCGTCGTCCCGCCGTGCTCAACGATGCGCCATTATAATGAGCTAGTTACGGCTTCATTCCATTCACCGCGTCTTAGTGAATGGCAATCTTCGTGCCGCTGAACATTAAATGAGGGAAAAGTTTTTGAAGGAATGGGTTGAACCTCTCGGAGTACAGACTTCAAGGAAATGTCGATGCCTTCTAAATCCGCTTCTAGCAACGGAAGTCTTGCCCCACCGTCATTTACTATATCTCATTTCATAGTTCCGAAATCGCCACTAGTAGCCGAAAGGACTAATTCAGACCAAACAGAAAAGGTGCGTGGTCAACCTCGTTGATAATCTCACACACCCAGCCAATGATCGATTATCGCCCGCAGGTCCTCGCCATTTGGAGCGCCATCGCTGATAACCTATTTTTCAGACTACCGTGACCTTTGGGCGGATCGAATCTCAACAGGAATACCTGAAATTGGTGAAGTTATTTAGAGGTGACTCAATTCTCAGAGCCTAAAGAACCGCTCACCACTAAACCTTTGCCATTCGGCACACCATGGCAGACAACATTTCCGTCCTTATCTTGCGACCAGGCGTCTGGTCAAAAGCCATCGCAAACACCAAAACTGCCAAGCCAGTTCATAAACGGTCCCACACTCCGAGCATCTGGGGTCAGTCGCCGCAACGCTTTCACTATGCTATGTGCCATTGTCCATAACCTACACTCTAGAAAACACCGTGGCTTTGCACTGGGTCAACGGCGGGTCAACAATCGGCTGTAGCCAGTTTTACAGTTCCGGGACTTTTTGGTGACACTTGCCTGACCTGATGTCATTTTGTTCTGAATGGGAATTACTTCGACCATGGTGCATCGGAAAGGAAAGGCCTGGTGATGATCGATTCAGTAGGTTCGAGGTAAGGGCTTGCCTGGAGTAGAATTTGGACAGTACGTGTAGATTTGCATCATTTTGCACGGGTATCAATTTGTATCCTTTTGTTGGTGGACCTCCACCCCAATTTGCCCTGGGCTCTCCCAATACTTTTTGCCTGAAATGTTACAAAAGAGTAGGAAAAGAAGTGTCGTCGCCATGGAGGGTGCGGGGGTAGACTTGAACCCGCAACCTTAACATTATTTCATCAAAGTGGTGGGCTACTGTAGACATTGACGTCGAACCTTTTTATCTTTGATGATTTTTCGTGTTGTCTGTCAAACGTGAGTCCAGACATTTTTCCCTCCTACAGCCTAAGCATGATATTGACCTTACTACTTCATCCGTCTGGAGATCTCTTTTATAAGACATTAGAGACGTTTGGTCCCCCACCCATTGTAGAACGCGAACCTAACATTGTTTTATTTGAACTTTAAATGCACTGTACTTTATCGCAAGGTCACGTGAGAAAACAAGGTCGGATAATTTTTTATTGCTTTTTGGCATAGTATCGTTAGTCCGGACTATAGGTCCAGTTCAGCTACAAACCGATAATTGCTAGGGCCAAGACAATTTTGTTAAGACGCAATTTTAGTCTGATTCCGTGCTGAACATAACTTATTGCCAGCACTCCAAGCCCACATTACTGTCGTACACGTGCAATGGATACGCTTCGCTTCGGTCCGTTATCCAAATAGTACGAAAGGACCTTTATCATGCCATGTGACTACACGACTATCGGCTGCCCCGTGACCAGACTGACACTATTAAGCCAAAGGCCAAATGGCCTTCTTTGACGGGCAACATACGAACACTTATTCTGGAAGGCGACCCCGCCAGCACGCGTTTCGCCACGTCGCGAATGTGGTCAGTATGATTTCGCGCTGTGCTGAAGTTGGGCTTCCGCCGCGACGGTTGGTGCGTGTACGCGACAATATAGTTCTTTTTCTGAGCATTTTGATCATTGCAGTCAACTAGTTCGTAGAAAAGCGATGCCTGTAAACAGCTATCTTAATGACTATCGTTGTCCAGAGATCTCACCAGTGACCTAAAAACCAATGAATTACAGTTAAACTGGGATGAATGCATGACACTATTAATTGGAGCAATTTTTGTAACATTCCTCGCGTTTTCGGTGCCGTACTAGGGTCGTAAGTAGTAAGTCTGAGCTTCATGTGGAATCCTGTGGCCAACATGCTTTTTTTACCCGCGTTCCTTTTCCGTTGTGGAATTTTAAAATTTATAAAGATACGTGTACGTCATGAGTGTCAGCTGTTGGACCCCGATTTATTTTCACACACGCAGCTGAAAACAGTTGGCGAATTGCGTACCATGTCTCGTGCAAGTTCAATGCCACGTGCTGTTTAGTATTTATCGAATATTGGTAAAACACGGCTGGAAATGAATAAACCAATGGTAGCATCAGTGATCCTCGTGACCCGAATACATGAAATGTATGTATTGCTTCAGTAACGTAGATATGTTTTCGCACAGTATGTTGAGGCAGCGATAATGCTGTCAGATGATCTGAGTGATGGAGATGAGCTAGAATAATGGGGTGATGGCCATGGCCACACGGTCATTGTTCATCACTTGTACTAACTCTACAGTCGTAATGCTGCATTAAGAATTCGTATTACTGGACCCTCATAGAGGCCTCACCCAGATGCCTCAAAGAACTACGACTTTTGACTCGGCGGGGGGCGGGCCGTTGTATACGTGACGGCCTGACATTCAAGGCTTGTAGGAATGCTCAACTTTAACATTTGGAGCTGCCCAGCAACACCCACCACTAAACATACAGAATACCAGGAGTGAAAGATGCAGGCGTCAGCGACGGGCCGCGATAAAATCGGTTTGTTAATAAAATGGTAAACTCTCGCGATATAGCTGAACCAATGGGAGCCGCGGGCGCATTCCAGTGTCATAAGGTCATTCCGTTCCATGCCACGCACCAAATGCTAACGACTTTTTTACCTTAATTTCTGTTCACTACATGCTTGTTAATAGTTACCCCCATCCACTTTTGTGTGTAAATATTTCTGTGTTTGTTAAATTGTTTTCCGAATTGATTTAACATCCTGTCCTCTTCGACACTTCGCCCCTTAACTGTTTTCGATTCGACTGTTATTTCTGTTGACCTTTATCCGTTTCGCATCTTCGTCCTTCGACTTTGCCCAATTCTACTGCTATTCCTGCAAACTTGTGTACCTTTCGATGTGTTGCCCTTAGACTTATTCGCTTGTTTGTAATCGAATTTTATCCTTTTTATGTCTTTTCCTTAGATTTGTTCCGATTCAACTTTTGTCCCCGTTCAATTCCATCCCATTCGATTACTTGCGGTCGACTTTTTTCGTTCGACTTTTTCCATTCGACTTTTTTGTCAAGCAATCATACGGGATTTGTACTCGGCGCTCGTAACAAGCCCAACCTGGCGGGCATTTAAGCCACTCGTGGCTGGTGCACGTAGCCCCCGATAAATGTGGTGTTGCGCGTGTGCAAGGTGAGGTGAGAATGAGGAAAAGGGGGCAAATGTTACTTCTTTCGATTTTCGACGCTCATTAAATAAGGCGCTACGTTAGAAACGCACGAGACAAAGTGCAAACATTGTCGTTGCTCTTGCTTGAACTGTGCGAGAACAACTCGGGCCCAACAGCTGACGCTGGTGGCGGGCCCTAGTGAATTCAACGACTCAAAATCAAATCAGACTTTCAGACCGCAAGGGAGAAGTGCTCCCCCGTGTGCGACTGAGAATGCTGCCATTTAACTTCAAGAAATCTAGCGCATTCAATTCAAAGTTATCTGCAGGCCGATCATCCAGGACATCGCAGTGGTGATGAGAAACTAACCCTCACGAAGTCAAACTGACTTAAAGGGAAGCGTTCCACATTTATATCAGGTTATGAACTAAAATAGCCATCTTGAAGACCTTTTGGTGCTGTTCACAACCCTGTCTTGCTTAAGATCTAAGCCCCTCTAGTTTCTGAGCTTCACGCTCTGAAAATGGGGAAAGTTATTTCGAGGAGAGTATTTCAAAGTCACTTTGACATTCATGACGTCATATTAACGGCGTTCAAGCCCTGCCATTCCCGAAGCAATGCGGCGGTCAAGACCAAAAATATAGTTGTTGAGGAGTTCACAGCTAGCGTTC